GCCATTAAAATGTTGTCAACAATTCTTCTCCCTTCTATAAATGCAGATTGATTCCCACTGATGACTTTAGGAAGCACTCTCTTCAGACGATTAGCCAACACCTTAGCTATTATTTTGTATAAAATGTTAATGCAAGATATTGGCCTAAAGTCTTTAAGAGCACAGGCAGAAGGTACCTTAGGTAACAGAGAGACAGCAGTAGCATTGACACTTCCAGGGAGGCGTCCTGATGAGAAAAAATCCCTCACACCTGCCAGAACATCATGTCTAATAATAGGCCATGCTTTCCTATAGAAACCTGCGGAGAATCCATCCGGGCCAGGGGCCTTGTAAGGATTCATATGGAGGACCACAGACTGAATTTCATCATCTGTAACAGGAGAAATAAGAAATGCGACCTCCTGAGCTCCAAGCCTGTTTTGAACCAGTGACTCCAACCGACCTCTATCCGGGTGAACATCATGATTACAAACACCAAATAGGTTCTTATAAAACGAGACAGCCTCCTCTGCAACTTTCTCCACATCTGTAACCTCCTCACCAGTCCCAGTGATTAGCTTGCGGATTGCCCTTTTAGCTGTATGAATCTTAACGGCTTGATGAAAGAATCTCGTACTCTTGTCCCCCAACTCCAAGACATTAACTCTTGATTTCTGTTTGTACAAACACTCCTCAGCCTTCCTGAACTCATCAAGCTTGACCATCCAATCAGATACCAGAGCAAAAGACTCCTCTGATGGAGACGTGTAAGCCTCAGCCTTAGCAGAGAGAAGAGCACGTTCAGCCTCCTTAACCCTTGTACTGATGTCCCCAAATTTATCCTTATTTAGTTGCTTCAATGCCTTCTTTACCATAGTTAGTTTCAACTGAACTCGATGAAGAGGGTGTGCTTCAACCTGCGTTTCCCAAGCTTTGCTAACAAGGGGGAAAAAATCAGGACTATCCGCCCAAAAGTCGAAATACTTAAAAGGCTTGGGGAGAGTTTTGTGAACAGGCTTTGAAGTCACCAGAATACCACAATGATCTGAAAAGTGCACAGTCACAACATCCATACGACAGTCTGGGAAGTCATCCAACCACTTCTCATTCACAAAAGCTCGATCCAACCTTTTAGCAAGTGGGTTACCCACTTGATTATTTGTCCATGTAAACTGAGGACCAACCATTCTATGATCCACTAATTCCATCGAGTTCATCCAATTCCCGAAGTCCCCCATACAACCATTGAAATCACAATGCTTAGACACATCCCCTGGGTTGAGAACCGCATTAAAGTCTCCCCCAACAATCCACGGTTGACTACTAACCTTGAGTCTAGCCAATTCAGTATAAGTGAGTCTTCTCTCCACCTCATCATTGGACCCATAAACTGCAGTGAGAAAACATGATTCTCCCTCCACTGACTTGATCAAACAATGGACAAAGTTTTTGCTATGAACAAGAACCCTTAAGTCAATGCTATCAGGATCCCAAAACAACCAAATACGCCCCAGATCACTATCAACGTAATTCAAGAATTTCTTCCAACCAGCACAAAAACCCTCAGCCACTTCATCAGCTTTAGTCTTCTTTACCCTAGTCTCCAAAACCGCAACCACATCTACCTTATGCTGCCTAAGGACTGAATACAAGTCCCTACGCTTAGAGGGTTTGTTAAACCCTCTAACATTCTGGAATAGAAAAATCATTGAGGGGGAGAGGGCTGTGACCCTCCCTTTCTTCCACCTTTCTTCGGAGCTGCCTGCAGAGTGACAACAACTCCTTCATCCAACGACCTTAGCAACTCAAAAGTGTGAGAAACTGGAAGAACACTAGTCGGACTAGGCTGTGGAGACCAAATACGAGGCTTGGCACCATTGACAACAAGCTGAAATTCAGCTTCAGAGGGCAAAGCAGGAGAAGCACACTCCACTGCAGCAAAACTGGTATCCAGATTAATCCCCTGCATTCGTGAAGTATTCCCAGACGAAGAGCCCTTCGAACAGTCTCCAATTCCCACCAAATTGGTCCCAATCATGACCTCCCCAGACCTCTGAACAACCAGAGGAGAGGATGAAACCACAGCCTTACCTTTGTCCAAGCCAGTTTCCACCGGAATCATCTGCATATCGACCTGAGTCCCCTGCTGACCAACCTGAGCTACTAGTGAACCCCTATCATTCTGCCCTTTCTCCGTTTCCTTCCGCACCCAAACCTATGTATGACATTCACAAACCCCGAAAAGCCTACAAGATGCACATACAGGGGGAAGGTGAGCGTAAGTCACTCCCACCTTGACAGAGGTGTATTCATCTTGTTGTTTTGACGCAAAAAAGCGGATCACCACTCTGATACCATAAGAGAAACCAAGCTGCTAGTTTTGCAGCTGGTTGTAAGAGGAAGAAGAAGAATGAGAGAAGTGAAAGTGAATTATTTGGAAACCCGCAAATTGCTGATGTTTCTCATTCTCCCATTTATACTAGTGTTTAGAGAGTAAAGTAAACCAAAACAGTAAACCATGATTTGTTCGTTAACTGTAATTTGAAATAGCATAATTGATAAACGCCATGTGTCTTCATCTGGTTGGCCTCTTGGTCTCCACCTAACGATAATTGCTGGTCTCCGAGTCGCCGTTCTAACCTTCGCTTAAGCTAGATGGATGGGATGGCAGAAACTAAACGTTTCTGCCTGTCTTTGCTCTGTTCTTCAGCTACTCTTCCTGAATCAGTTCTGCAGCTTCCTTCCTTCGATCTCCATCTCCATCTCCATCTTTCTGCTCTGTTAGGTCCTTCAACATTAAGTCGGTTCAATTCTGGTTGAGTGAATTTGGACGAAATAATTAAAAGAAGGCTAGATTGGGATTGGGAAATGTGATTATAGTAAACTAGTATTCATACCCCGCGCTCTGCGCCGGGATTTGTGATTTGATCTCAAAACAGAATGGTTACATCTTGTACTTCATGTGTTTTATCGTCTGTAAATTAATTTGGATATTATAATCCATGAAAATTGAATAAACAATAGTAAAATACAGCAAGTCAAATGTCTAAAGAACAACAAAGATCAACCGCTACAGCTTGACAATCCTCATCTACGTCAAAAAGCATAGAACCTAACATCAATAAAACCTGAATTCTAATCATAATTACAGGCCCCTTACAAATTAACAGGGTGAGCAAGCTAACGTTCATGAAATCCAAGACTCCAGCCTTCTGCTCCCATTCACGATTCCGATGAAGAACCCCCCATAAAACTATCTGGCCCTCGCCTTGCACCACCAAGCTACATCTCAGGTTCCGTACATTAGATAAAAATCACAAAGAATAGCAGCGCAAGGATAATCATAAGATAAAAAGGAATTTCAACACCCAACATTGGTGCAAGCTCCCTAGGAAAGTAAACAACCAAAATCATATATGAAGAACAAAAACACCTGCAGCCTGCAGAGTACTGAGCAATCCACAGGCTATGATATGAAATCCCTTCGTCTAAAAGTAAAGAATAATTAGAGTTTGGCATGGGTCAGCAAACAAGCTGAATTTCAAGTTTTGTCCCGTTTTGATAAAAATCTCAATCCAAACCAGTTCGGCAGGTAAGTCCGTGTTTACCACCATTTTCTAGGGATACAGGAACGACGATTCCTATCCCAAATCGTGTTGTTCACTCTTGATTTCTTTAGATTTTATCATGACCTGGCAAAAACCAGAAAGCACAATGACGACAAGATGAAAGTTTATTAAAGCAAATTAATCGGCCAACGGGCCGAGTAAAAGCTAGCAACGATTGTGAGATACTCATTTCCCGAAGACCGGCAGAATATGTGACTTTTTATTCGATTTTCTGGAATTCGGTTTCTATAAAACTTACTACACCTCATCATATTACACGAAATAATATTGTTTCACAAGGTAACAGGTACTTGATGTTGGTTCATAAGGCTGATTTTTGATTCGTTGTATCATTCGTGTCTCTTTCCTGCTAAAGTTCAATATATTTATCACGTGTTTTCCAAAAATAATACTATACAACAATAAGTTATACACCCCATTATATTATCAAATTATATACCTCACCTTCCTCCGATCAACTGACCGGGGCCACACTAGTAGAATAATAGAGCGGCAATTTATTCTATTAACACATACTAAACTTTGCAATTTACCTATATTTCTAGCGACAAGCAAGCCGTTTCTTACACTCTGTTTGGGAAGAGGGGTAAATGGGAGGAGGGTGCAAATGTGAGGGGTAAACACAGTTTCCAACACATTTGCACCTGTTTGGTTAATTTGGAACAGTAGGGGGGTGCAAAACGAGAGTGCAAATTTACTGTTTCGGCTTACCCCCCGAATTGGGGTGCAAAGGAAGGAAGAGAGGGGGAGGGGGGAATTATGGAATTTTATTTTTCTAATTGTGTTATATATAATTATATAATAATTAATATTATCAATTTCTTCTTTTTATAAATATCATTAATGTAAACATTATTCGGGGTTGACCATTTGACTCTGGAAACAAGTTTATAAATGTTCGTCAAGTCAAATCTAGATCTCTTGGTTGAATCGAATTTGCATTGAAAATTAGATATACAAGGTGTTTGTGGAAAAGATAGAGAGAAATTGTTTGGTTAACTCATTTTATTTGACTAAATAGTTAAAACTTACAAATTCGAACGTGTTTGACTAAGTTTGACAATTTAAAATTAAACTAGACACGAAAACCCTATATAGGATGACCAGTTAGGAGTTGAGCTTCGAGTTTTGAGATCGCTCAATCAATGATTATTACAATTGTTATAATTAATTATTATTTGAGCATTATTATATAGTAACTATTTTTAGTAAAGTATATTTATTATTATATAGTAATATTTATTTTATTATTTTATGATAATATTTATAATTTTAAAATTTATTTTAAAATAATATAATTACTTACTTTGCACTTTATTTGCACCCCCTACTTTTTCATCCAAACAACAATTTACCCCTCCACTTACACCCCCAGCAATTTGCACCCCAAGCAATTTGCCCCTCAACTTCACCCTCCTGCAATTTGCACCCCTTGTTGCCAAACAGAGCGTTATTCTTCCACCGTTTTCGAATTTCCCAGGAAACCCTAGCTTTCATCTGACGGTCATCGATCCAATGTCTACCCTCTGCGACCCGACATCCTCCTGCAACCCCGATAAGGAATCCGGCATCCGCATCGCCTGTAACTCTGAAAATGTCTCTGAGTTTGCCTTGGGTGCTAACGGCGACAGCGGATCTGCCTGCAGCGAGGCCCTCTTCCTTTCCGAAAACAAAGGCTACTACGACTCCGCTTGCAGGCGGTGCCGAGAACTTGAGGCGATTGAGCCGATTCCCATGCCTGGCGACGACAAGTACTTATTTCCCTGTGAGCATGAAGAGTTCGCCAAAGATGAAGGCCTAAAGTTACGTGTTATCCGCTATAGGAAGTCGATGGCGAAGACCGGCGTGAGTTATTAAGCTCTGATACTAAATTTCAGCAGTATTTTTTGGCTTTTAAATTGTGCATCTGATGATCTAAACTAATTGTTTCTTTGATCAGGGTTTTGATGTTGACTGCCCTCCACTGCATGCTCAATTCGATGAAAATCTACCCCATGCGCATCTTAGCTATATCACTGGCTTCGACCATCGTGTGAGGAAGGCTGCTCTGTTCGTGATTGATAGATATAATGAAACTAAGGTATTGTAATGTTCCAGTTTTTACTTTTTAGTTAAAACAAAGGACACTTGTTAGCTGAAAATGTAATTGCAGTAATCCTGTGTTCCTTTTTCGCGATGACTTGGTTCTTCCTTATATTTGGCAGAGTAAGAACTTGGCGCTTCTGGATATTTCCAATGTATGTGCATATATTGGTGGTCGTGTAGTACTCTTTATAACCTTTGAAGGATACAATCCTGAGAAGCCTGATAATTATGTGGAGACTTACCAAGCTGTGGTTTCCTGCGTTCATCGAAGTAATGAAAAAGTGGTTAAGATATTCAGGAGGAAATCAGATGGCAAAGGTAACTTCTTTGTTCTGGTTCATGTTTGTTACTGTACCTGAGGATTTCTTCTGTTTTGAACAGGTTAGACTGTTAACTAGGATGTGCATTGTTGCTCACTGAGTGTTCATCCATTGAAAACTCATGCAGTTGAACATAAGATGGTAAGGTGCCGTCGTGTGCCCATATGTTTCTGTACTGTTGATAAGGATTCCATTCACACCCTTCTTTTCCCCTTTGGGTTTTCTCCTTGTTTGACTTGTTAACACAGTGATGCAATCCTGTACTTACTCCATGAAGCAAAGCGTAGGCTACCACTTTGGCTTTTTGGTCAAGTTGATTGTGTTTGTTTCAGCTACATCCAGAACGTGAATGAACTGTAAATTAAAACTATTCTTAGTTTTATGTTTGATTTTCTTGGAACAAAATAATGATGTTTTCATTGCGTGTTTTAGTGCTTTTTGTGGATTGGCTCTGGATATTGCTTCTTTTGCTTGCTCTGTGCTGATAATTGCTTATGCAGTATATTGGAGTTGATGTTAATCATTTTCCCCCCTAATCAAAGTTGCTTCTGTGCAGATCTGCTCGATCCCGATGCATTCTATGTTGTCTACATAGAATATTGGACATCCTTGTACTATGGAGATAAGTGAGGGCCAAAGTAACTAGGGTCGAGTGATCTTGGGGATGTAGTCACTTTGCTCTGTCTAGAATCATAAGGGATAAGGCCTAAATTAGCTCTTATGTTCAAACTCTGGAGCAGAGACATCATACCTCTATATTTGTCTACTAACTTATAACCCGGCCCATTGTCCGGAATATTCATATTTAATTATTTATATTTTCATATTATGTTGAAGTTTATCAACTCATTTAATTTTATTGACAATCCTTCGATCGAAATGATATATAAAGATATATAAAGAAAGAATATATTTTCATATTACGTTTAAGTTTATCAACTCATTTAATTTTTTTGACAATCCTTCGATCAAGATGATACATATTGAACATTTGTAGAAATATAAAAAAATGTACCATTGATCTCATCTTCATAATGATAATTAAATTCTCGGTAAAATGCTATTGGTTAGTTGATTGTCAGGAAAGATAGAGTGTAAAAGCTCACTAAAATTCCCTCACGAACCATAAATAGTTTGAAACTAAATCTTAAACCTCGCAATCTTATATAAAGGTTCAATGCTTTCTTTTTAAGAACAATATGCCACTAATAAAAAAGAAATGAAAAGTTGTTGATTCAAGTCAACTATACGCTAACAACTCAGCTAAGAGGGGATCATCACAACTTGAGAGCAAACACCAAAATTAGGGTTGCCTCCCGTTTGAGCCTAGAATGTACTAGGCGGTTGTGAGGCTCCGATCTGGACTCCCTCGTCGGATCTCCTCGAGAGTGGAAGAACCTGTGAGGCGAGGGCGGCCCCCAGATCTACGCGCCGACCCCCAAGTTAGTACGATATAGGAGAGGGTGTTGTATGTAGAGAGATAAAGTATAGAGAGACCTTAAGGGGAAATGAGGAAGGGAAGGAGCGGATCCCTTGGCTTGGAGGCTTTGGCCTCCTTTTATAGGGCTTGGGCCTCCTTAAGTGGGCTTGGGCCTGTTTATAGTCGTGTAGGCATATTAATCCATATCCCAAAACCTCCAATATACTAATAGACTCGATCAAAGTATTAAGGAACAAAATTAGACACTCTTTCTTTATCAGTTCCAGTAGGTTGAATAAAGAATCGACCGACCTACTTCAGTAAATCAATCGATGATTCCTCATTTTAAGATAGAATTAGGTTGCGATAGCTTCAAAAACCATAAACCTAAAGATCCAATAGCCACCACTCTCTGTTGTACAATAAAATTTGTATACACTCTATATTCAATCTCAAGAGGCGTAAGTTTCAACCAAGAATTCAGTTTTTAATCCTAATTCTGCACCTCCATTTTTTTTTAACTCTATTCGATTCTCCATTGATTGATATCGGAGTTGAAATCTTTTACTTGCCCAGTTTAAAATCCCCAAAAATAAAATCGTAGTGCCAAGAGATACCGGAAGATTGATTTTCAAGGGCGGCCTTGTACTGTGAAGTGAAAGGGGCATAAACTATTGCACGATGGAGGGAATTTCAGAGGAAGGTAGAAAGAGATAAGAACAAAGATATAAAAGTAAAAATTTAAATATAAATTGAAAAATGCAAGGACACATGTAGTAATAGGATTAGTTTCTACTTTCTACTATGTTGGCCAATTACCAATTTAACTTTAGCGAAAATTAAGAAGAGAGCACTGATTTTAGAATTGAGAAACTACATGAAACTCTCCTTTGGAAATTGCATTATCAAGCACCATTAAAATACATACGGTAGAATTAGTGAGCTTGCTAATCATGATGAAAAAGTCCTCTAATTTTCAGTATGTCACGTCGTGTATGTTTTGTATTAAAAATATACAAAAAATTTGTTTAGTGTAATTGGTTGTTATTGTTGTCTTTGTTTGAAGAGACTAAGGTTCAAATCTTGATATTTGCATTTTTATATGGAATAAACAATTAATTGTAAAGACAAAAATGCCCTTCCTACTTTCACTCACGTTGCAGGAAATTTGAAATTGAGAAAAATAGACAAAACTCTACTATTTATTATTGGAGGATGTGTTATATTTTCCTATGTAGCCTATGAATCTTTACGTTTTAACTGAGAAGTGGATGTCTATTGCTTAAAGTTATTGGCTTATTGCCACATCCTTGCAATTACTTAAAGTTATTTCCACATAGGAACCTACCCAATAAGCAATGGGATGGAGATGCTCTAACCCCAAAATTCTTCTTCGCCACCGCCTCGCTCCGCTAGCCCTTTGAGGACCTTTGCAAAGCTTCCAGACCATACTGCCTCGTCACTGACATGTTCTTCCCCATACTAATCTTCAACTAGGGGTGGGAAACAGTGCGGTTAACCGCATCGAATAACACAATTAACTATAACCGTATAAGGGGAAAATCACCAACCGCGACCGTACCACAAATAGTTTGCGGTTAACCAAATCGCATATCGCGGTTAGCGGTTAGTTGCGGTTAACTGCCGTAGTAACCGCAATAACATATTAAAACATCCTACTTCATTTCTTTTGGCTCTATCATGGTAGTGAACCTGCTTCTTCCTTTCATATGTAGGGTGTTAGCTTTGAACTATAAAAAAAAAGACGAAATTAAGCTATTCCAATTGTAATCGAATGCATGTCAATTGTCAAACATATAAATGCTGGCGTTTCTGCTAATGAATGAATCTCTTTCTTTATTTCCCATGATAGAAAGAAATTAAGCCCTTTTAAAAGCGCAACGTTAATTGATTAATGTTGGAAGATTAATTTGAGGAAGGATAACAATAATGATAAAGATCCGTGGAAGATTGGAAGAGATGAAGATCCACAAAATACAGAAGGGTTGTGGCACTGAAAGTGGCAGCCTAGTTATTCTGCTAACTTGAAAATTCGTTAGTATATACTAACTAATATCCAAAATGTATGAACTAATATCCAAGTCTGCTGAGTATCTAGATAGCACAGACTAGTATTCTAAACATCACAAACTAGTATCCAGATAGCAGATACCAACTAATATCCACAATCAACCAACTAGTATTCAATATGGATACTATTATGTGTTATCTGGATATTCTTATGGGTTATCGGGATACTAATTATGTGTTGTATTGATACTATGCTGTGTTGTCTAGATATTAGTTTGTGAATTTGGGATAATAGTTGATTCATGGTGGATATCAGTTAGCAAACTTTGAATACTAGTCTGTGCTATCTAGATACTTTAGTACTTGGATACTAGTTCATGTATTTTGGATATCAGTTAGTATCTGCTAACGAATTTTCAAGTTAGCAGATTAACTTTTCCCGAAAGTGGAGGGTAGACGTAGAGGCAACGCTAGTTGGCGGTCGCTATTTGTAGCATTGCATTGCATTTTGTTTTGTTTTTTATTTTCTTATTTTGGAGTTGGGATGGTGATTAGTGAGTTTGGGGTGTACAAGTGTTTGGGATATCACCAAAGGTAAGATAGTTTAACGGTAAATCTGTTGTAATAATAAAGACTCGGGAGTTGCAGATCTCGTGTTTGAATCTAAGCGAGGCTCGTTGGTGTTCTCGCAGGTACAAGGCTGCTGGGCGAAGCCTTGTTGGGTATCTGGTCTATAGCACTACTAATTTAAGTGTTTCCATTATATTAGGGTAAGTTTACCATCTCACTCTTTTAGGGAGAACACATAGTTGTAATCAATAATTTCATAAGGTAGCTACTAAATGTTGGATTGGAATTTTTTTTGAAATGGAGTTGATTAAGATAAACGACTGGGCCAAGCCTACAAAGAAAGTGTACAAGCAAGCAAAGCAAGATAGTAATGAAAAAAGCCCAAATAAAGAGGCTCAAAGAAAAACCCGGGTACCCAATAGGGTCCAGGTCCAGAGCCACAACAAGTCTGATTCTTACCAAACCCTAGCCGCTAAGTGCCCCCTCTGAATCACATCCATCTCCGCGGCTGAGCACCACCAGCGCACCTAACAAGACGCTACCAGCCACCTTTTGAGCGCCGCCGCGAGCCAAGCCATGGATTGGGAACCCAACAGACTCGGAAGGTGAGATGATGAGGAAAACCACCACCAACATCTCAGACCGAGCCGATTGTCGTGAACTCCGGAGAACCACCACGAGTGTCAAACAGAACAACCAAACGAAAAGTGGAGGAGACAGAGAGTTAGAATACACCAGTCTTCAAGCTCTCCCAACCCAGTCCTCGCCAAGGGTTGCATCTCCGGATCGCCAAGACCTGCAAGACAAACCAAGGAGGTGGAGCAAAGGAGAGGAGAGGAGAAAAACAAGCCGGATCTTTATCAGATCCGACCTCCATCGCATCGTGAACTGGAACATACATCTCAAAATCTAGAACCAGATTGGAGGAAAAAACGTCAACCCACAACGGGGGGCAAAAGGAACCCTTCAAAGGGGGGAGAAAACAACCACAGAGTGGTGAAGACAAATCAAATCAAGGCTGGAAATCAAAAATCGCAGAAAGGAAACAAGGGTAAAAGAAGAAAAAAAAAAAAGAGGAAACAAGAAGGCAGAGGAAGAAGATCGGTGAAAAGAGAAATAAAGAGGCTGAAGGCCGCCGCCGGTCACCGGAGGAGAGCCGACAGCGACCTCATGGATGCCACGATAAGAGAGAAGGTAGAGGAGTTTTTGAGAGAGAAAAGAAAAAATGGGTTCCTTGGGAACCAAGTGGTTGTTCGGATTGGGATTTTTGTTAGGGGTTTCAAAAATTGCTTGAATATGATATTATAATTGTTTGGAAAAATTGAGGCCATAGTCAGCTACCCCCTCCTTTGAAGTTTTAACCAGTAAGTACAGAGCCATCTTCTTCATCCCCAGCCACGTGCTAGACCGACGATGCACAATCCCCTCTTCAAAGTTCCTTACACCTCCCAATAAATTACAAGTTCCTTATTCACCACTAACTTTACGAATCGTTTCACGGTTAGTCATCGCCCGTTACATTCTGTTAAGTTTGTCCTACGTGACAGTCAACTATAAAGTTTGAGCGTTAACTAGATGACTTGGAAATTTTTTTTATAAAATTAATTTTTCTTTCCAGCTCATCATTACACTTATTTTCTCTATATAATTTATCATATTAATAATTTAATAAAAATTAATAAATTACAAAAATTAAGTATCAAGTGGACGAGATTTTCGTGCGGGCAAATCCAAATGCTCATCATCCTCAACCTCACCATCCACTCCATCATTCGTGGTGGGTCCCTCCAATCGAATATTACATGAGTGTTGTGGGAGTAAGAAGAGTCTTCCTTTTGACTACCCTTCCTAAAAAAATGCAGCACGCGAACGAGCCTAATTCTTATGCTTGAGCTTCAACAGTAATGGGGAAGCGGAAGGCAACTTCCTTATATCCTCCGAACCAACATAAGC